CTCGATCATCGAAGGCATGGGATTGCACATCCGAAACAACCAACTCATATAACTTGTTGCGTTATGACACCACATCACCCAACCACTACTGTCTCATGTTTTCTTGATGTTTGGTGTCTTTCTAAACAAGAACTTTAGAGCCAAACATATCAAATCGAGAAGAGCACATTCCTTCACAGCACGTCGCAGCCCGACAGTGGAGTTTTCCAGAGGTCAAAAGTGGATTTAATCTTCACCTATCAATCTCTATATAGCAAGAACAACCTATATGGACCTATATAGTTGTAAGTTATAATATGTTACAATATATGATACGTATGAAGGAATATAGTTGCCTTGCTGGACCTTACTTGCCTCGTACGGATACTAATTGAAAGAAAGCGGAGAAAGGCCGACGATGCAACAAAAACAAAATGAACCAGAGTTACCGTCCCTCTGCATCTGAGGCTCCAAAGCACCATTGCCTCCAAGAACGGATGAGAGTCAAAATTATCAGGCGGTTTGAGAAACCACGGATTTGAAACGACGTCGACGACACATTTTAAATTGAAAGATTTAAGTGCACCGGTGCACTCTTAACCCTCCTTAGTGTCTGCAAAACATGAATGTTTTCTAAAAATTCGATGTTCATCACGGGTAAATCGTCATAAATTCCAAGGAACCCTATCTAAATGGAAGGTCCGCTCCATGAGTTCTAATCTAATGTTTAAACTCACCAAAATATAGTTATATGAAGCATGTGGCTCTACAAGTTTCTGCCTGAAGAGTTTGATTAAGGATCCCAACTCTGCCTGGAGAATCAGCCGGGTCTGAGCATGGGATGTTCTCAACTGGTGGTGATGCCTCGCGGCTCTAGCCCACAGCCAATCACAACGGGTTGGTCCTCATCTGGTCATGGAACATCGAAGACACCATGAATAATCACAAGTGTCCGCCGACACCAGCTTCGCCTGGGCTAAGCTGGGCGGCGCCCAGAACACCGCAGCGTAGAACCCTCACCCGGGTTGGAACGCTGACCCTTTCGGCTGATGCTGCAGTGAAGGCACCTGCTCGGCCCCTTGCGCGGGTGGCTGCCACATGTCCTTCAATTGATCTTCAATTGGCTTCGAAGCTGCCGCCTGGCACCCTTTCCGGCCGCATTGGCGCGCAGAACAACATGGGCTAAAGGCTGTGGCGGCCGTGGGTTTGCAAACCTTTTTTGCTGGGGTCGGCGGCATCCGGCGTTGGTTGGTCCACTCCGGCGATGCCGTATGGTGTAACTTATCGCCGCCTATAGCTTTAGCTACGGGGGGGTGCTCCCGATGCCTACGGTGCTTTGTGAAGTCGAGCTTAAAAATTGTGCTTTCGCCTGCATTTCGAGCCGGTTTTGCCACTTGGAGCGATTCCAAAAACGGCAAAACGATAAATGTAGCAAACTCCTTGAGCCTGGTGGGGGAGAGGCCTTTTTTGGAGGACTCTGGGATGTCGAGAAAGTCGTCCCAAAAGCAGGCAAGTTGGACAAAAAATTTGGGAACTGGAAAGGAGCTGGATTTGGGCCTTACAGGAACAGCTTTGAAGCCTTTTTTCGGTTTGCGCCAAGGCGCAATACACTGTAAATTACAGTGCGTTCACAAATTTCGATCTAGAAAAAAACATGTCGCAGCGTTGCAAAAACTGCGTGACTATCGACGTTTTTTGGGGCGTGGTGCGCGAAATGCTGAAAATATCGCGTCTTTCGAGAAAACCTCGTAAATACCGTTGCTTTGAGCACTCGATAGCTCAAAACCATCGGTACTTACGTGGCTTCCTGGCGTAAAAGCACCAAAAACTACGCAAATAGCGTGGCTTTGGGGCACCTTTTGGAAGCCTCGAGCGGCAAAATACATTGATATTTACAATCTTTTTGGTCATAAAAAACGGCCTCTCCACACCAGTCTGAGGGATTTGGCCTGGTCTCTTTTTGCGAGCGCGCGCGCCTCAAACGTTTGATATGAGGTCTCGGGGGCGCGCGCGCGCGCGCGCGCGACGCATTCGAAAGGAACAACAATCATATTAACCAAGCAAGAAATGCAAAGGCAACGGACAGCTGCAAAAAAAAACAGAAACTGAACACAATAGCGCACACGCGCCCAACCGGCATCGCCGGTCTGCGAAGCTCTACAATCTATTGATGCCTTGCTCTTCTGCAGCAAGTGTTTATCCTTTCTCATCACATGCGAGATCAAGCCAGAAGCCACCGAAGCTACTTCTACGATTGGCACCACCTTTGACCAAAACCGAGCAAGTGGACCTGCGGTGAACACTAGACTGCATCCACGCTTCAGTAACCTTCGTTACTTGCTCTGTGACTGTCTGGTGGTGAAAATATACAAAAAATATTGTATATAGACATGATTGCGCTTAGTATGGTACTTGTGCATAGAGCAAGCCAATGACACAAAAGAGCTGTTGCTAAGCAAAGTTGCTTTGGATGTCTTGTCAAAAGCTCTTGCCAGAAAGCAAAAAAACTGCCATCCGATTGAGTCAAACGCTCACTCAGAGTGCCAGGGCTCACAAAAAGGATGTCTTTATGACTGGTGCAAGTCAAGAGGCTGCTGGCATTGCCAAGGCTCATAGCAAAGGATTGCGGACTTATTGGTTGATGGATGTTGATGGTGTCAAACACGGTGGGCACACAATATTTACATCTCATACAGGCATTGCCCTTGCACGGTGCTAGGGTGGTAGAGTTGGTGGGGCGTGTAGTACAAGAACATTGAATGAAGCCTCACCTGCAAGAATGATGCACATGTGATCAAATATGCTCGTTTGGCTGATGACTGTGCTGATGTCCTGTGGCACTCACTCTCAAACTGTCAGGCTGCTGGAGACTTGTGACGGTTTCTGCGAGTAGGGCACAATTCAAGCTGGACAGCAACGAAACAGACTGCAAATACAACTGCCTTCAGCACCCAAAGCCTTCACAACAACCCTGTACAACATGCCTTCACGGTAATGCTGGTTTCTTTCAATCATGTGAAGGGTTCTACGGTACTAGAGCGCAATAGCTTCATGCTACTGCTTAGCTCTCAGCTACTTTGATCCTACCTCTCTTCTTGGACAAGGAGAATTATCTAAGATATTCTAAGAGTAAAGAGCCAAGCGATGAGGTCTCCTTAGAGTCAGCCACTTCTACCTGGCCGGCGCTAAGTTCTTGTCACGGTGGCACGCTCAAAGCTGTCGTCAACGAGTTTCCAATGACATTGGGGAGTCGAAGTGGATCTTCAAACACACGGGCAATCAGGCCACCCGATCAAAACCAAGAAGTGCAGCTATTCCAGTTCGATAAACAGTGATTTGGTTGAAGTTCAAGCTGCCAAAAGTTCAGAACCAGATTCTGTCATGCGACTACATCGACTTCCAGTCTTGTAGAACAAGTAATGACAAGTTTAGTTTAGCAAATCAAGCCTGGGTTCCTTGCATTGGCAGCCTGTCGAGACCGTCTGCTGTCAAAGAATGGAACAAACATTGGAAAGTCGTGTTTTTTGACGTGATCCAAAAGCAATCTCAGACAGCCTGGAGTTGGAGCCCAAATCCCGACGAGGAGTTCGAATCGCTCCAATGAAGCAATTGCCTCTAGAGAAGGCATAAAATAAACTGTTCTGAAGAATTGTTTTTTCGACCTAGCTGCCATGACAGCACTCGGATGACAGCGCTGGGCTCATGATAAGTCATGGCAGGCGCTTCCCCCATTGAAGACTGCATTCTTCGTCCTTTGCACTCAGTACATGACCAGTAAGGACGCATAGCGCCGCAAGCACGAGGCACCTGGCACCCAGCTACACTCCCTCGCATTTACCGCGACAGCGTATCTATCCATATTTATTCTCTGTCTCCCTCACCCACAATGGCGACGACAACAACAACAGGCGCGTGATGGAAGTTCAACTCAAACCACATGCCAATCTCATGTCTAGAATGAATGGTCCATGCAGTGCTGCCCTGCTCGGAGTGTGCCATGTAAAGCATGCAAACCTGGACTGTCGGATTCTTGAAACAGCAGGTGCCTCTACTGTCAGGTTCCCTAATGAGTGAAGTGGTGCCAATACAAATTAGACTTTGTCGAAGGCGCGAAAGCAGCGGTCTGCGAGTGACCTAGGCAAATTCATCCATGAATCATGAGACCTTTTACCTACTACAATGTTTGGTTAGTGAGTGCGAAGTATGGACTTGTCTTCTACCAAGTGTAAGTTCAAAAGCTGGAGTGCTTCAAAAAAGGCAGCGGCTTGAGAAAGCCATGGCCTCCAACCTAATAGCGATGCCCTCCAACCTACTAGCGATGGCCTCCAACCTACTAGCGATGGCCCCCAACCTTCTAGCGATGGCCTCCAACCTACTAGCGATGGCCTCCAACCTACTAGCGACGCCCGCCCACCCTATTCGCGATGGCCTCCAACCTACTAGCCATGGCCCCCAACCTACTAGGGATGGCCTCCAACCCATGGCCTCCAACCTACTAGCGATGGCCTCCAACCTACTAGCGATGGCCTCCAACCTACTAGCGATGGGATCCAACCTACTAGCGATGGCCTCCAACCTACTAGCGATGGCCTCCAACCTACTAGCGATGGCCTCCAACCCACTAGCGATGGCCTCCAACCTACTAGCGATGGCCTCCAACCTACTAGCGATGGCCTCCAACCTACTAGCGATGACCCCCAACCTACTAGCGATGGTCTCCAACCTACTAGTGATGGCCCCCAACCTACTAGGGATGGCCTCCAACCCAGAAGCGATGGCCTCCAACCTACTAGTGATGGGATCCAACCTAGCCAAAGGTGCAAGAAATCCAACCTCCAAGACAAAGGCTTTCTGAAGCCAATACAGCCTCACCCCTTAAGACTCACACTGCCATGGTCTGTGCCCTTGTTCTGTTGGAAAGTCAAGAGTTTACAATGAGTGCGAGAGGTTCTGAAAGTAGGATCTGCTTCACAGCTAGTCATGCAAGAGGTTGGATAGGTGATTGCATTGAAGTCATTTGTGCATGGTCTGGGACACCAATAAATTGCGGCGGTGACACGGCAAGCGGTTCAACAAACAGATCGCTTCACCCAAACACATGCATGCATGGAAGGTCAGTGCATGGTCTTCTCTCAAGAGAAAAGGAAATCTGACTTCACTTCACAGCATGTGGCACAAGTGTAATTTTCGATGTCGCACCAGCACACGGGCTTCAAATAGAAGCATTCGGCCTCAATTCGACAGTGTCGGCAAGGAAAGAAATGCAACAGCCAACCGCCTTTGAAATGGAAAAAAGAAGCAGCTAAGTTGCTTTGTCGGTGAGCACACCATTACTGCAATCTCACAGTCTCGACGTGTCAAATCTAATGCTCGAAGCCCTCTCGAGAAAGTGATAACAAAGCAAGAGTCGAGCTGATTTCAACCAATATACAGTATATAGGAACCATTAAATGCCAAAAGCATCGACATCGAGCTTGTCAGCCATCGTGTTTCTTTCTGTCAAATTCTTTTGTTCTTGCACTTGGGTTTACGTAAAGAAGTGCTGACTGCGTTTTACCCTGAGCCAAGGATTGGTCAGTTACTATTCGCACTGTCCGACCGACTGCGGCACACGCTTTACTTCAAGCTGTGCAAATGGGTTAAGCGACATTGTGTTCAGCTGAATCCTACAACTTGCATAGACACATGTCCTTTGGTCCAAGTGGATGCAAACGGATCCCATCTTGGAAGAAGCACTGCACCACTCTTCCTCCATAAGATTCTTTATGTTCCGTGCATTCCCTTCATGCGAGCTTGGAATCCATACCCAGGAGCTCCCCCAGCGAGCCATGCTGAGCTTGCAGTTCCAACCTGGATCTTGGGATGTCACTTTACAAACCATGAGCGGGTGTGAATTGAAACAGGACATACAATTCAAGGTACCCAATGAATCCGTCCTTCCTTCCAGGCGTCCTTGACTCGCTTGCATAAACAAATCGAGTCTCCCATTGTGAACCACAAACCAGCTCAGAGGACACTGGGATCACAGATGTTGGGAAACAAGAGCTAAAGGTGCGCCGCAGGTATTCTTCCTCAACAATCAGAGCTGGGCAGGTAGGTAGGTAAGGTAGGGTAAGGTAGAGTAAGGTAGGGAAAGGTAGGTAGGGTAAGGTAGAGTGAGGTAGGTAGGTATGTAGGTAGGTCTGTCCATCTGCCTGCCTGGCTGTCTGTCTGTATGGTATGGTATGGTATGGTATTGTATTGTACGATGATGTAATCTTGTACTGTACAGTAGTGTGTGATCAGATTCGAGCTCCGCGCTCATGACAGAGGCCCAGAGTCGTTGAAGTTGCACGGGGCTCGAGCTGAGTGCCTGCCATCATTGGCCATACTTGTTCAACTAAGACATTGCTGGCTTACTTGCTCCCACCAACTGACTCTTGTCCACATTCCACTTCTCCACCAGCCTTCCGCTGTTCATCCAAATAACCCAAGTAGTGCAGGCCGTCAGCAACCTTTGCGATGGAGGCAAGGCTGGAGCAATGCTGGGAGTTCAGTTTCAATCCATCATGTCTGGAAGGTACATCAGCACCTCCACAGTCAAGGCTGCTTGTTCAGATTCACTTTTGTTTCTTGAGCCACGAATACAGCTAGTCGCAGCTAGTCTAACATGGGGCAGGGCTGACTACTTCTTCATACCATAGATTACAGCTTATGCGTTTGGCACAACACTCTTGTCACTTCTGCCGGGCTTGGTGGCCGGGCACTCTGGTTGCGCAGTGTCATGGGGCCTGATTCATCCACAGCATACCAAGTGGGATGAGACAAAGAGTTCTGGGATATTCCACGTCATGCCTCCCTCCAACCGAATCGATTTGTCTCATCCATATTAAGTGGCATCATTTGCTTGCACAAAGACACTACCATGTTCCTGCCTTCAGCTTGTAGATGCCCCCTCACACACATGAAATCGGATGCAAATGCAAAAATCACCCCGAATTCCCCAAAAAGCAAAACAAGGTGACCTAAGTGGGTGCATTTCGTGAAAGCCTGCAGGAAAGCTCTTCCAAGCTCTCTCGCACAAAGTGCTGACAGTTGGAAACCTTGGTCAGCAAAAACCAATGCCACTTTGTATAGTTTCTTGCTATCTGGAACCTGATGAGTGACCGATGGCCAGTGCAAGTCAGTGACACGCCTGGCTGCGATATTTGGACTGTTGCATCAAAGGGGTGCATTTATAAGGTTGCAGCATCAAAACTATGTTGGCACCTGCACCCGAAAAGTGAATGCGTATATACTTGCACCGAACATGAAGAAGAACCGTGGTACACACAATACAGATTCGGGCTCCAGGCTTCTTGTGTCTCGTGAAACGCGTGCGTGGTCACCTCGGTTACAATTGCTGGCATCGTAGGTCACGCTTGAAAAATGTGTGAATTGGCACCCGCAAATCATGGTTAAACGCCATGTATACAGTAATTCTGAATTCTGTGCTCTTGCCAAAATGTTCAGTAAAGAAACAATGTTGGTCTTTGAGCCAATCAATAAGTCATTGTCTTGCAATGATGTTGTGAACAAGTTGCTCATTGCTTTGATTCAGGAAGTTGTAAGGAAAGGCATTCGAAAATGATACAGCAGCAATGGTGAGCAGCTGGCAGCAGCATCCCAAACATCCTGAAATGATGAGTACAAGAAAACTGCAGAAAACCTGCATGCCTCAGCCGAGTGTCTTGGCCACAGCTTTACTTTGCATAGTTCTCCATTTGCTATGATAAGAAGCAAAGAAGCAAGTAAATTCCCGTCTGAAACGTTGTCTTTCACAATGAAATGCTTGACACTTAAACATCCTGAGCTTGGTTGGTCTCCTGCAATGAAACATCCACATCAAAGCCATAGCCATTTCTAGGTGCCTGGTCAAGCTTCTTTCAAGTCGATCGACGGCAAGTTTCCACTTGATCCTCTACGACCAATATGACCGTCCTTTCTGGCTTTGCAACTCACAAGTTTTGATTGCGGAGTCCACACTGTGTAATTGTTCAATTCCCTATCTGCTGAGAGTACATGTTGAAAGGGCCTGACAACCGTGCGACCGTGGTTTAAGTGTTGAAATGGTAGCAGGGAAATGACAAGTTGCACAAGGCCAAACCTGGCAAAAGCATCATTTGGCTGTGATCCCTCCACTTGCAGAAGCCGTAAGTACCTGCCTCTGGGAAACGTTCAAATGGCCCTGCTTTTCTCCAGCTGACTCCAACATCTGCATTTTTGTCCAAATAGAGAAGGTCCTGGAGCAAGCAAGGTCTTTGGCACGTTTCTTGGATGGGACATTGCGACAGTTGGCCATCAATTGACCCACATGAACTTTGCCTTCAAAGGGGGCCTCATGATATAAGGAAATCCTTACATCCTTTTTCTTCGCCTCCTTGGCGACAAACAAAAGTATGACTCTGGTAGTATCAATCGTTCATGAGACTCCTATCAAACGGCGTGTTGGCCTTTACACACCCAGACATATTGTGCCTCCTCTTCTCCTGATTTCAGCCGCACAGCCTTGGTCTCAGTTTGTTGCTCCATGCTCCAATTCGGCTCCATGCTGTCACATCTCTGATGACAATCAAGCAAACAGGATGAAAGAGGAGATCTAACTCTCTGGCTGAGGTCCAGCCAGAACCGAATGCTTCAAGCGAAATATCCACCTCGGCTGAAGCTTCTTTCATTTCTTTAGATTCAACGGCCGCACCATTTGTTAGCAAAGGAAACAAACGAGTCAACCAGATGGGCAAAATCGGTAGTGTGGCGCATGTGGCTTTCAAAGACATTGGACTGTTTTCTCTCTTCTTGTTTCTCCCTCCATGTCTATCAGTTGAACCAGGAAAGTCAATGGACGTTGGTTGGTACTATTATATACGTCCTCTCAATCAGTGAAACATAAAAATAATATAAACTCAGTATTGAGTACCCCGCTCTGACTCCACCAACCATCAAAAAACACGCCCACGGGTTGAATGACTGCTGTCCAAAGTACCCCCATACACCGACATTTGCATGACGGCAGTGCTCCTCAACCTCTGCGACAGCAACTAAATGGGTTTCATCTGCTCCACAGAGTTGGAAGACAAAACTCTTTATGAACTGGTGTTGGACCTCCTGCGCGCTAGATCTCATTGTTGCAAATCACAATCATCTGTTTCCTGTGCATTTTTGTGGATAAAAGGTTGGATCTAAACCCAAGCTCCCAAACTACTAGAAGTTGCCTGTTCACCAAAGGCTGTCTGAAAGTCGGGTTCATGGTCCATGCATGATCACGCTTCTACAACGAAGCGGGGCGACAAAGTGTCTGATCAATATTTTTCCCCAAACAGTGTGGGCACACTGAGGGGTTCTTACGGTAGGTGATAGGAAGGTGTGCTTAGATCGCTGAGGCGTGCGGGCGTGAACGGCTAATTCGTTGCTATTTACAGTACATTCATGCCTCTCAACATCGTCCATGCAGATTTCGTGGCAGGCGCAGCACTTGGTGGGCCTCGAAGTGCAGATTTCGCGGCAGGCACAGCACTTGGTGAACCTCGAAGTGCAGATTTCGTAGCAGGCACAGCGCATGGTGAACCTCGAAGTGTAGATTTCGTGGCAGGGACAGCGCTTGGTGAACCTCGAAGTTCAGATTTCGTGGCAGGCACAGCGCTTGGTGAACCTCGAAGCGCAGATTTCGTGGCAGGCACAGCGCTTGGTGAACTTCGAAGTGCAGATTTCGTGGCAGGCACAGTACTTTGTGCTCTCAGATGCTCACTCTCTCACTCTCCGACTTTCACTCACACTCACACTCCCTCACACTCCCACTCTCACTCTCACTCTCACTCTCACTCACACTCACACTCACTCTCCCACTCCCACTCACAGCCACGCTCCTCACACTCACACCCACTCACCCTCCCACTCGCAGACTCTCACTCGCTCTCACTCGCACTCGCACTCACACGCACACTCACTCACCCACACTCACTCTCACACTCACTCTCACTCACACTCGCTCACTCACTCTCACCCACACTCACTCGCGCCCACCTTCACTCTCACTCACTCACACTCACACTCTCACTCTCATTCTCTCACTCTCACTCTCACTCTCACTCTCACTCTCACACTCACTCACTCTCACACTCACTCACCCACCTTCAGTCTCACTCATACTCACAGTCACTCTCACTCTGCCTCACACTCACTCTCACCCACACTCACTCTCACTCACACTCGCACTCACTCACTCACTCTCCCACTCTCACTCTCACACACACTCTCACTCTCACCCACACTCACTAACTCTCACTCACACTCTCACTCACACTCGCACTCACTCACACTCACTCTCCCACTCTCACTCACACTCACACTCCCTCTCACCCACACTCACTCACACCCACATTCACTTCATCACCGCCATCACCTCTCTGGACCCCAATGCGTCTAGATCTCTAGACTTTCTGCTTACAGACCTCACACACACTGTTTGGGGTCTCTTGCCGGAATAATCAGGGGGTCATAGGTTTGCCCAACCTCAAACAGGGACATCTGACATCAGCTGACCTCTCAAACAATCTGGGAATTCCTGCACGGGTCACTCTTGGGCTCTGCTCCAGTGGCACGAAGGCTGGCGAAGATTGGCGAAGGAAGAACGACAATGCGAATGCAAATCTTGAACTTGTCACCACATGTCACCCCGAACCCTGCGGCCCTTCTTCCATCGCACCTTTGCCATGACCCGTCAAAGAGCGAAGCTCTGACCTCTTTGGATGACAACAAACCCCAAATGGCGCAAACCAGTGACTGGATCGACGGATTTATGAGGCTCCAGCAGCTTGAAACGCTTGGAGCTGCCTAAGCTGCGGATAGGATTCGGGATTCTAAGGATGATGCAAGGACGCTACTAGGAGCAAAGGGCATCGCTACTAGGAGCAAGGACGCTACTAGGATGCTCCTGGCCTTACTACTAGTAACAAGAAGCTACTGGGAACAAGGGCATCGCTACTAGTAGCTCCTGGCATCGCTTACTAGGAGCATTCTTGTTACTGGTGAGTGACAAGAAGCTACTATGCTGGGGTAACGACTCCAAAGCTTCACACCCCAAACTTCCTGTGCCTCCAGACGAGACACCGAAGCTGCTGTGCATGGAGCGCATCGTGCAGCCAATCAAACACATGTCTTTTGTTAAACACTCGTGCAACCCATGTTCTCCATCCGCCCTGCAAATGTTTGCAAGCAATATGTCAACAATGTGTTGTTCTTCTCTTGCATGAAACTCGATGTTTGGGAGCACCTGGAAATATTCATTCCAGCGAGCTTTGCGCATGAGCTTGGCATCACCTTGGCACCTGAGGGCAAGGCGGCAAGAAGGCTGCAAGACCATGACTTGTACATGGTAAATGTGGAGCCTGTGGAGCTTCCAGAAACATGATTCAAGTTTCACAATCAAGCCCAACCATCAAAATATACGCTCGCGCAATCACAAATACACAGCATTCTCTGGTTTCTGACAGTCTGTAGCTTTGCAACACCTACGTAGCCTTGGGTTCGTTCGTCCTCGTACCTCATCACGAAGAGCTCTTCTCCCGCTCCGTGCAGCCGCAGGAAGCTCTGAGACGTGGTGGACAATGGCCCCAAAGGAAAATACTCCTCCACCTGCGGCGAAAGAAACGTCTTTCTTTAGGAACTCCACCGGAAAGGCTCTCAAAATTCCTGAATTCATGCAGCAAGGGATTGCAGGTTTGCAGCATTCTGACAACTAGTCGGCTGGCTGAAGCACCAACATCCTCTGACAAACCTTGAACCAACAATTTCTGACGCTTGTCGTGTGCCTGCAAGAAAAACATGACAGGGTGTGGAAAGAGGTTACACCCTGTCTTCTTCCTCCACCCACAAGCCTTCACCACAGGCTCATCTTGATGGGCAACTCCCTGAGATGCACAGCAGAAGAAATTCTGAATCGTGTATCCAATGACAGAAGTTTCTCTGAGGGTTAAGTCAGTTAAGTATCCAAAAACCTGTTCCCATACGAGATTCCACTGCATGGTGTCGCATTCTCCTTCCGGTGAGCTGTCTGAACAACACCAACTCGCATGAATGGAGCGAAGCAGAGTATTTGTCAGCTGTCAACTCTTTCCTCTATAATCCAAGGACGTTGGAGCAAATCAGTTGATTGTAGCCAGTTAGCCAGCCCTACAAATTCATTATTTGTTCCTTGCAGTGCAGGTCCCTTAGCCTGAGAGTTTCAGTTGACTCCACCAACCCCGTGCAAAGAGCAAGCCTCGCCCATTGCACGACTTGCAGTGGCCGAGTGCTGCAGACCGTCATCTGCGTGATATCAAGATGTTGTGACCCATCATTTCTCTGAGCCAAATCCTTGCCGCTTCCAACACATCTCTCCACCAAGGTGATGCCTGCCCCGTGATGTATATATATATATATGGTTTAACTGCGGTGAATGTGATTCAAAGGCTCGTGTGGTGACATGAAACTTGCTCCAGCGTGTGTAGCTTCCCTGGTTTGATAAGCGCTGCCTTCATTGAAAGCACATGTTGGCTGCACTCCCTGCTGCAAGGCTTCAAGGGCTCTCAGGCTGGCTAAGGGTGAGCTTGAACGCGAGGTTCAATGTGAATCGCTGCCAATCATGAGCCAATGTGTTTCCGATCGTCAAGTGGCCATGCAACGGCTTCTTCCAAGCTCAGCTGCCTTGAAGGACCTGAGCGCTTCTGCGTCTACCTGGACCGTCTACTGTCTATCCATACTTCCCTAAGACTGCGTACCACACTGCTCCATTCCTAAAGCCGACAACTTCGTCAAGGACCGTCAGGGTCTCTCAATCGACGCTCTTTTGGGCAAACGGCACACGAAGCTAAGGCGAAGCTAAGTTGATGCACTTCATCCCCGCTATGATCCCTGCCCTTGTCTTTAGTAAAACAAATATTTGCCCGAATGAGCCTGGATTGTCCACCTCACAGCAGGTCTGACCGAGCTCTTTACGACCAATCTGGCACAACAGGTTGGATGCTTCAGACTTAGAAACACCTCAAACTACTAGCGATGGTCTCCAACCTACATAGTCTGATTTGAATTACTTTATTGCGACACATAGGTTGTAGTTTCCGTTCCCACATCTCTCCTGGCAGTCTCGTGTGAAATGCTGTCGTTACTTCCAGCATAGCTTTTGAAGGAACTTGAAACCTGACTTTTTGACCCGTCTTAAGCATCGTGCCCATGTCTTACCGTATACCCGTGTCTTCCAGGTCTGACTTCACCAGACTCATTGGGCCTTCAGGCTCCAAGATCCCATACCAGGTGCTCCAAGCATTTGTTCAGCATGTCATTTTGTGTTTATATCAAGATGCTCATCAAGTGATGAACATCATACAACAGTAATGAAATGCGTCCAGTATGAGTGTTTGACCACTGATCCGACGAACATCAAGACCTCCCTTAGGTGGTTTGTAGTTTGACAAATGCCGGACCTGCGGAGCTTCAAAAGCCGAATCAAAATTAAAGCAGTTCGCAGATTTGTCTCTGCAACCCACGAAGACGAATGCAAAACCTGGAAGAACAAGGATTCACAGTGTGAGAAGGAAACCATGTCAAAAAGGGACGCTTATTGCACGGACAGAACAGTGGACAGAACTTTGCAAATTGGCAAGGTCTTCATTTTAAGACCGCCACAAAGAATTTTGAAATCCCTGACACTGCAGCACCCAAATCATGCAGCTAAGCTCTAGACATGCGTTTCTGGAGCCAACAATTGAGCGCCCGGGGCTACGTCCAGAAAAACACGTGTAACAATGTGTCAGGAAAGGCAGCAAGATTCTGGCACTGCAGAAATACAGGTTGGTTCTTCGCCTATCTAAAAAATACTTCCAGCACTGGAAGGTAGCACCAACGTGCGCGGTGTGGCACTGCGAATAGTTGCTCTTTTTGCTTGCAAGCACCGTCTCCAGCAAACCTCACCTGCATATGTAGTTGTTGTGCTATACTTCCAAGAATATCTGCCCATCGGATTTTGGGGGGCTGGATTCAGGATTGGCTGATCCAGTTGCTGTCTTCCCTATGCCTTCCACTTGGATTCACTTGAGAAAACCATCAAAGATCAAGTTATAGCATCAAAGAGCAACACCTTGACAAATCGTGGGGCGAATCAGCGGAAACTGTCTGTTTCAAAGCACATGCCACACATGTTGGGCTGGTGTTCACTCTTCAGACATTGCCATCTTTTCCACCTCCTGCAGAGCAGAACTTGTAGAGCAGTCTTGGTCTGTCTGTCCCATCTGTCCGGTTCAAGAAGCCTCCTGGGTTGGAGCAGATTCCACAGGATTGCAGCCATGTCTGACAGTTCAGGACTCGGGGTGACTTCATAGTTCAAAGATGTTCAAAACGAGCACGACTCAAAAAGTATGTCAACACTCTTCTGTGTCAACCCAACTTGTAAAGGGCTTCAATATTGCGGTCCCCAACTGCCTATAGCGGGCACTCGCTCGTGGCAAAGGCATGTCCACGAGCCTGGCCTCACAAAAAACCAGTGTTTTGCCGTTTTGCTGCCCTGTTTTGTTTTCAAGGAAACCCACTGAAAGCTGCCAAGCTAGCCTCTCCATCACGGCCCCTGGCAGCTCTCAGAGATGCCGTATGCTAAGCTATGTGAGTATTCACAGACAGCGGATTAGGTCGCTGCCTGGCGCCCCAGGATGTCCATACAACTTGCGGTCGCCAGGGCGGAAAGCCGCAGAAGACCCGCTGTCCTTCTAAGCCAAGTGTCAGTCAACCTTTGGGTTTCAGCGCCTATTACATACAAAAAAGGAGAGCCAAATACATGCACGACTTGAGCACCCACGCCTGCCAGGTGCAACTCTTGCAAATGCCTTCGAGCAATGTACGCATCCTCGCAAGAAAGGAACAGCTCTAGAGTGCGGATCGACAGCCAAAGCTAGGTGAAATAAATAGGATTGCAATGGCAACTGATTCCAGGAATAAGCTACTAGTAACAAGGGCATCGCTACTACTAACAGTGGCATTGCTACTAGTAGCAAGAACCTACTACTATCAAGGGCACACTCGCCAAACCGAAACATTTCGGCTTCGGAGCCTGGAAGCTTGGGAAGCGAAGCACCTTGAAAACGACACGATGCTGCACTTTGTGCTATTCGTGTCCATCTGGGCCTCCCTGCCATGGCTCCACCATTCCCTTCTCGGCAATGATTGGCAGAGACATCCCGACCAGCCTGGCCATCGAAGATGGATGGCTCTGCAGCTATGCGTTTTTGTGAAATTGAATGCCGATTTCATCCACCGCACCTCAAGATTTGGTTTGGGCTCTTGGCCTAAGCTAGCAAGCATGACACGGCAACAGTTAGTTGAGTTGAAACACTTGGTGCCGAGCTGATCTCAACTCCATTGTCACCAACCTCTCGAATCTCGGCTTATCTAATTTGATCTCACAAGCTCATTCAGACCAGTTTCTCCATTTTCTCATCAATCAAAGTCAGCCAAGCCCAAAGAAACAAAAATCTACCTCACAAAGCTACGGGAACAAGTAGAACAACTACTGTTTCTTGCGTGCTTCTACTTGTGAATGTAGAAGCTCGAAGCAGGACCTGCGTCTTTTGTTTGGTTTGTTGGATTCGTCTAGTTCTGTTCAAACCGCCAACCAGCGTTTGCTTTGGGTCTGGATCATCTATGACCTTAATTGGTAACCGATATACAAAAGCAATGAAACTACTGCGGCCTCCAACCTACTAGCGATGGCCTCCAACCTAAAAGCACTGAAGCTACTGCGGCCTCCACATCCAGCTGTTGCAATGGACCGACACCTTTCACCTGAACTCAAGGCCATGATGCCACCGATTGCCCAGCTACTCCCCAAAGGAGTTTGTTGCTTGAAAACTACCACTCGACTGGCGACTGGTCAGATATTTAATATATGCTACCCCCCAATGGACCTACCTCTTCCTAGTTTGGGCAGACGTTGGTTGTGGATTAGTATGAAGCAAATACATGTGCAAATGAGTTCATTGCAAACGCTGGTTGTGGATTAGTATGAAGCAGATACATTAAAGATAATGTATATAATTGCGTGTCTTTTACAAAAGCTATTTTAGCCCTAATTGATTTTTAGTTACACGGCAGTTGTTTGCTTTATTTTGTTTTAAAACACACTCTGCATAAAATATGTTTAATGTGGTCTCAAATAGGAATCAATAATTATATATCAATATATTGTTAATTCAGTTCTACTTATACAAATGTATTGTGTATGTGTGTCTATTTACTCTTAATTTGTTCAGTTCATTTTTATATGTAGAATTTGTTTTACATCCACAGTTTGTGTGTTTAAATATGCTCAATGTGCATTGGGCAAATTTAAGATAGTTTTAGTTAGTATGCAAATAAACTGGATTTGTTTTCTCATGATAGTTTTGTTTCAAAAACAAATACACCTGCAAATGCTGTTAAGTTAGTTTTTTGTTGTGTTTCAATTATAGGTAAACTATGTCAAATTGCGTTCAATTCAGTTGCAGAAACTTTGGAATTGATGTTTTACGCAGTAGAACTTGTTAGGCAATTTTAATACGTATTTTGTTCTTTATCATGAAGGTTTGCGTCTAAAACTTAGACTTAAACACATGTTTTGGCTTTAGTTTGTTTTCTAGTTGTCCTTTAAAACTAGGCTACACATACTTGAATCTTGAACCTTGAATCTTGAGTCCAGGGCTGTGGATCCAAGAACTTCTGTTTGAATCTTGAATCTGGAATCCTGGGCTGGTGATCTAAGAGCTTCTATTTGAGTCTTGAATCTTGAACCCTGGGCTGGGGATCCAAAAATTTCCATTTGAATCTTGAATCTTGAATCCTGGGCTGGGGGTCCAAGAAGTTCCATGTGGATCTTGAGTCTTGAATCCCTGTACTTAGTGCAAATTTGGCCCCAAAAAAACCATTTCCTGCAACTGTTCTTCATCAGCAAAGATATCATAAAAACAACTCCAAGGACTAGAAAAGTTTGCTTGGAACAGGTCCAAAATTGCGTATCAAATCCAAAACTCCAAAGTGTATCAAGAAGCCTGCAAGTACTATTAAAAGGTAGAGAAAGGTAGGTCTATAGGGGGTAAAATATACATATATATTACTACACTATATATATATATATATATATACTATATACTATAAAATAATATATCTATGTATATATATATATATGTGAATGGCCATTGCGCACCTTTTTGGGACAAGCCTAGGGGCGTCTTGATCTATCGAAACATGGCGGATGGACTTGGAAAATTCGCGCTCCCCCCTTTTCGGAGACAACGGTCCTGGAGCATGTTTCATGTTGTTGTGGATTGTTGATGTTGATACTAGTAGGAAGGCACGCTA